ATAAATGTTTATGCACTGGCCCAATCCTATTCAATCTAACAGATTAGATTATGAAATAATAGATATATTTACCATAACTGAACCAAATTAACAAAAGTGGTGTTAAATTTACATTACTGTTCTGCTGTTCACTCCTAAAAGCAAAGCTGTTTATTCAATACAAAGTATTAAAGATCAGAATACAAAACTTTAAAGTACTACATTAATTAAAAATATAGTATGAATGCATAAATAAATAAAAAGGATGCTGTACTTAAGTAAGTGAGTGACAATTTCATAGTACAATCTAGTAGTACTTTTTGTTAACGCAAGGTTCTGATTGTGGTGCAAATCACTAATAAGTAAATCATCTAGAACTTAGTAGAAGTGATCTCCTTCTTTTCATTTTGTTTCATTTTTCAGTTACAAGAAGGATAATGAAATAATTGAACCGTTATAATATGTACTTATAATCAAAGAAATACCGAACAGCTTTATCAGGCAATAAAATGTTTGACAATCCACAAAGGTCCACAAACAACAATGTTGATGTTGGAACTTTTGGTTGCATAAATGGGACTGTTTGTACTTTGGCAAGGATACAATGATGCCTTTGTTGATTAGCTCAGCATTCTTCATTTTCCTCCACTGTATGGTTTTTTTAAAACATTTCTGTTATATCCCATAGTTCTTATAAATCCATACTTCTTTTCCCCATGTAGCAACAGTTCTGTTGCAATTCTAAACACAAATTGCTAATTTGTAGGAGAAGGCTTTAATAGAAATACAGGAAAGATATCAGTAAAAAATCTTCACTGAAAACATTCTACAAAAAAATCTTTACAATATTTTGTGGTCTATATGTTTATGCATCAATATATTAGAATTGCTTCTATTGCTCATTATGCCAATAATGGAAACCTTGCTATTAATTCCAATACAAACAGATTATAGCCTCTGCTAAATAGCATCAAAGGACAATGCAGCTGAATTTCTTAAAAAAGAAATTATACAGTTGAAGCAGACTTCTCTTTAGGAATACTCTAAAACCGTACTCATTTGTTTGATACCATAGCAACATCACACACAAGAAACAATCTTAGAATACAAAACTGAGAGCTGTCTATATACAATAAGGAATCGCTTGTCCAATACTTTGGTTGATTTCATTTGTTTTGAAGTACGGCATTTCTAGCAAACCACTTCAAAATAAAAACATTCTCCCAAGATTTTTTTTTAAGCTACCAAAAGGAATTCAACATAACAAAATCAGAGTCCTGGAAAACATAAAAAAAAGCAATCATTTAGTGTCCTCAAAATGAGTAGAATAACATTATTTCCATAAGAACAATAAATATGAATTTAAACATTGAACTTTAAAATCTGGTACAGCAGAAAGTCTGTCATCATCTAAGGAGTCTTTAAGAAAGTAGTATTTGTGGGAACTTTGTTGATTCCTAGTTCAGAGGAGCCCAATCTCTAAGGAAATGAAGTTGATTTGTTTTTGTATAATGATTCATTACACTTTTAATATGTAATTTGAATCATCTTCTAATATGGCTATATCTTTTTCTAAAGCCCATTATCCTGTCTCTTATTAATGACCAACAATTTTGGAAGAATTCAGATGTCTGTGTTTCTTGTTATTTATGTAACCCACCAGGATTCACTGAAATTGGAAAGAAATATCTGCTTTATGAGATTACAAGAGGAAAGAATAAAATGTGTAATTAGGTGAAATAATGAATTTATCCATACTTAAACTTGGATTGGGTGTGGTATAGAGTCTGTAATGCCTGACTTGCTTATATTTCAGACCAACTTGGTTTTCAACAAAAATACTCCGGTGTTTTCGGAAATCCCTCAAATATCATGATATACTAGGTGCCTAGAATGGACCTCTAAGTGGGCCCATCATTCTTATAAAATGTGGATGATGGTCAACACCATCATCATGAAAACTGATCAGTCCATGATAAGGGATACAAATAAATATTCCCTAATATCAGATTGTATATGCTCTGCTCTGACATAAATGCCAAGTCCAACATGATCTGAAAGAAATTAAAAATTGAAATGGTGATTATGAGACTGATTCCCAAGTAGGGGATGTTAAAATAATCTAGAACTAGCAGCTTAGGTGAATTTATAACTGCCCATTCAGTGATACTAAACAGCTTAAGGATGTTGCCTATGTATTTGTGAGAAATGGTACAGTAACAGCATTCCCAACATGTTCCTTAGAGTCAACTCACATATAGCCATTTGGAGATAAGTGATCTTTCTAACTTACAAGACCTGGAAGAAAAATATGGAAGCTACTTAGAACTGAGTGAAAATAATGATGAAAAATGCCAGTCTATGGAGTTATGCTTCTGGTAAACATGAAAGAGAGATATAAACTGAAATGTGTCTGAATGAAAAAATTACAGAATGATTAATGGTAGAAAGGTACCATCTAATGTACCTAAGGAGCAAAAGGTAGTACTATATGATTAAAATGTCTGATGACAGAAAGAGTGCTGTTATTGCTTCCCTATACAAAAGTAGCAGGAAGGAATGCAAAAATTCCAAAGGTGTTTTTTTCAAGAGGCAACTGGACTTCTGGTTTTTCCTTGAAGACATCCAAGCTTCTTCAGGTCTCATTGGATTGTGGGGAATGGAAGGATTTATATTCCTTGCAAATACTAGTCATTTGCATTCTTTTAGAAAGTCATTGAGGCACCACTTGGAGGTTTATCTGTGTCCTCAGGGTCATCTGAATAGTGCAAATGGGTGTGGAGCCTTCTTGGAACTGTTGAAAGGACTGTTGTAGACTGCAGATAGATGATACTGTATCCCTTCCCATCTGTTGAGAAGAGCTGTTCAATTTTGACATAGATAGCCTCTTTGACCCCTCTTTCAAAACCATGTTAAATGTATCTGGGAAGGTGTTTGGCTTCCAAATGAAAGGTTATGAGAGATTGAGTAACATTTGGGCTTTGGCTTGGTGGAAGGTACACAGACCAGATTTCTGCTCTTTGGGTCACTGGGAAAAGTTTTACTGCAAAAAAAGTCATACTTTGTATGTACGTTTGTATAGAGAAAGTGCATGATAAGTAAGCAGGTCTGAATTGTGCTATATTTTGTAAATAGAAAATATGACTTGAATGCTGTATGCTAAATTCACTGATGGAAATAACAATGTCATAAAGTAAGAGGAACACTCAGCAAATAGCTCAACGTTAAGTGAAACAAAGAAGTGAAACAAAGTTGGGTACCATTTTCTACAATTCTGCATAATAGTGCATATCCTGCATGACAGATATAAAAATGGTACTAGAAAATCCATTTTTCCAGTAGGAATCTTCCATTCACATGCACATATAAACATATTAAGTACAGACACTGAAACGAGAAATACTTTCACAAGGATGTTTCACACACATCTTTGAGCTGGGTTTAACTTGAGGATTAGTTCGTTCTAATTTCTGTATTATCTATCACAATGAAAAAAACAATACTTCTGAAAAGGAAAAGGAAAGCTGAGAAAGCAATGTTAGATTTAGATCCTTGAAAGAGTGAGGCAAGACATTTAGAAAATAAAGACAATGCAAGAACTTCTCTATGGAAGCAAAGATGGTTTGCAACAGTGGTGGGATTCAAATTTTTTTACTACTGGTTCTATGGGCGTGGCTTGGTGGGCATGGTAGGAGAAGAATACTGTAAAGTCACCAGTCAGAGGTGGTATTTGCCCGTTCTCCGAACTACTCAAAATTTCCGCTACTGGTTTTCCAGAACTGGTCAGAACCTGCTGAATACAGGAAATGCAAGCACGGCGAAATATGGAGATAAATTGTGGATGGTGTTGGTATATGGTGCTGCATTTCCTTTTAAAAAATCTTTTTATCTTTATTTTATTTGCTTACTATTGCTTTTTCCTTTTTTGTGTTTTACACAATATTGCTTCCCTCAAAAGGAAACAGGGTGATAGGAATACATAAACTTCAATGAGGTGATTAGTCTGTCAGAACTGATTAGACAATGATCTGCTTAGTATGGATGTGCATATACTGTATCTCCGAATCCAGCAGCAAAAACTATTTGATAGAACTTACAACCGAATGTGAAAAGTGAAATGTGGTTTGTCTGCTTATGGCTTAGCATGATGTAGAAACCCAACTAGAACTGTTGACAAGCAGTTTGTGGCTTAGTGGTGTATGCAAAAACAGCTAAAAATCAATATACAACATTCACTCTTTGTATTTATTGCATTCTCAGCAAAAGAGCACCAAACTTCCACCTAAACAAACAGGGCAAAGTTTTTTGTCCTTTTCTAGACAACACGGTACACAAATCAGAGAAATTATATAAATTATCAGTACAAGTAGCAAGATAAGTCCAAAAAGACATAAAGCAGCCCTTGTCTTTTCTTGCTTCTCTTTCTCTCTTCCCACATCCTGGTTCATATTAGTTGTTATTGGAGGTGCCTGGGATTGTCCAGGGAATCTTGGTTTGACGAGCTTTTTCAATTTGAGCCTTTCAGGTTTTGTTGCAGGGCAGAGAAAGATCAGATTATTATCTGACTTTCTCTTTCCACCAAGAGCTGCTAAACCACAGCTATCTTAATACATATTATCATTAGGCACATTAGACACATTAGGCACAATTTTTTAAAAAAATCTTTAAAATGTGCATACACCTATCCACTTTTTTTTTTTTGCTTCAGCACTCACTATGGTGCCCTTCTAACACAACTTTGTAGAATAATCGGAGACTGCCTTTGCCCTGGAATAAAGCAATTTCTCCAATTCCTTTTACACCTAAAATTGACCACTGCTCTGCACAGCGGAAAAATCTGATGATTTCCGAGTTTCCCTTCAAGTCGGGCTCACCACCCAATCTTCCCAACCCGCTTGATTTCACCAGCCAGGGCTGATGGCAACCCAAGACACCTAGAAGACACCAGCCAGGTGGCCACGGGGCACCTTTTCACAGCAGGCAGAGGCGCTCCACAGCTCGCTGACTAGAGCGCAGCCCGGCCTCTTCCCTGCTCGCCGGCGCCTGGCGCTCAGGAAATCGCGTCAGCATCTGCCCTCCTTGTTGGGGCGGCGTGAAAAAGTCAGCCTGCCCGCTAGTTTGCTAGCAAGGTCTCGCTGTGCTGTAGCTGGCGTCGGAGCCGCGTTGATGAAGGGCGAGCGTCTGCCCGCGCCGCGTCCGCTTGTTTTCCCCAAAGGGTCGGAGATCGGAAGGTCAAGGGATAGAGGATCCGGCGCATCGGGAGTTTTTGGAGAGGTTTCGGCTAGATATTTCGAAAGGACATCTTTAAAGCGTTTCCCGAAGTTGATCCTCCACTGGTATCGTCGCTGGAAAAAAGAAAGTAATTGGGGGCCGGCGGGGATTGGGACCACTGTGTTGATGGTGGCTCTAGGAGAACTAGGCTGTTTATAAAATGTTTAGACGGGAATTATTTCGAGGCAAAAAAAAGAGGTTGCAGTCGGTCACCGTCCGTAAGTAGCAGTATTTTTGCTGCTGCAATCTTGGCTGAGCAACTCATAAATCAACCGTAAGATTAACGTGGGACAAACCCTTGTACGCACTAATTACAATGGGAGGTATTTTAGGAACTAACTTTTGAAAAAAGGAGCGCATAGCATACCGAACTTGGCTCTAGGCCCATGCTTGAATGAGATAGCAAGTGAAATGAACACAGCGTGAAAGAAATGCAGACTAATCTGATTGATAAACATGTTCCCTCCTTTCTTTTGCAACATATTGTGAAGAGATGAATGGGATTATCGAGAAACAGCATGGTACTACAAAAAGTATTTTTCAGATTTATCCCTGAGCCCATCGACAATTAGAAGAAGTCACTGCATGGTGGAAAGTTCCTACATGTGAAAAGCAGTTATTTGTATATGTTGTGTTGTGTGAAGCAAGCTAGTATATGGAAATATTTTATCATTCTCTTAACTACAGCAATCTGGCTGATGAATCTGGATTAAATTCAAAGCAGGTCCTAATAAATACCCATTTTCCTTTTTTAGATAGGCTGCTTATTTTCTCTCTTTTCTTTCAGTCTTTCACTTGCATTCCATTGATGTACTTAACTAACTCTGTGTGAAAGTCTCTTCTGTCATTCAGCCAATTTGGCTTAGATTGCTAATGTTCCCTTGGTGATTAGTTTGAGCAAAATCTCTTTGGCAGTAGCCTTCTCTTGTACAGGGACACCCAACATTTGATACTGGTGTTTAATACAGTAGTTGATCTGTTATTTATAGAAGAAAGTTTAAAGTGACTATATACTTTCCTAGCACTGCTTGTTCATGCTATTGCATATAAATTATCTAAGCACATTCTGAAGGAGATGCCTTTTTTTCTTCTTCTAGTATTTTGTAAAAATTGAAGCTTCAGCAATTTGCATTCCAGCCTCGTGTTCATATAATTGGAAATAAATCTAATTAATTCAGTGACATTTACTCCCAGGTAAGTTTATCCAAAGATCCAGTCTTACAGGCTATTGCTTCTATGGACACTTTGTTCTATTTTATCTTTCAGTGGTTGAGGTATGTATGTTATCAGATAAGCAATTAATATGCTGTCTGGGTGGTTTGGAAATTTTAATCCCTGATATCTAAAAAGCATAGAATTGAATATGCTTGAGTTGCATGAGTTGCATTTTATTGCCAGAATACTTGAATGCTCCAAAGAATTGAAGCATTCAGTTACAATAACAATAACAAAATACAATACAATAACATTATTGTTTTTGTTACAATAACAAAAATGTTTAGGAATTCCAGTGTAAGTACTGCAGTAATATCATGGTTTTAAGTTTTCCCATTTCTGTTTCTATATCTGTATCTTTTTCTATTTTCCTATCTCCAGTTTCTGGAACAGTTCCAAATAAGATTTTATTTAAGATTCAAGTTTACATTCTATAGCAGTTAGACTTGGTCAAATCACCATCAGAGATTCTGGTAGGTGTTAGTTATGATTTGTCCCAAAGGTGATAGGGTAATACTTGCTGTAGAAAAAGTAAATAGGGTGTTGTTCAATTGGAAACTAGACCATGAATTCATCCTATTCTAGATGAAGTCTCTCATAAAAGTACAGCCTGGGATAATTCTTTGATTCTCAGTGAGATTCCCTAGATTCCCAGGTGAGAAAGAACATGTTTATATGCCAGCTATGATTCTCCTTAGCCAATTGAATTTGACAGTGGTTGTCCATACTGTGGTTACATCCTTTCTGGACAATTTAAATTTATGTGGGACTACTTTTGAAAATGTTTTGAAGCACTAATTAATGTAAATGTCACTGTTGAAATATTGCATTAGTTGTCAAAAGTATTCAAAACTACATACTGTACAGCATGATTATCTGAAAGACTATGTCTTCTGCTAGAAACCTGTTTGAATGCTTTGATTTACAATAAATATGATCTACTGCTTTCCATAGTCAGTATCAAAGATTCTCAGAGTTTCTCAGTTCATGGAGTACTTATATCTCATTATGTTTTTGTACGATATTTTACTTTCAAATATTAAGTATTTCATAGTACCCCTGTAAATTTGTTAAAAAAAAAAACCAGCATCACAGTTTGGGAATTACAGGTTTCTATATTAGACGAAAGGGGAAGCCTTTCTTCCTCATAGTCCCAAGCTATGGAATACCAAGTCTGCATCTCTTCATTCTTAATCCAACATCTTAGTCACAATATCACATTAGTTTTCTTAGGAGATTATGCTTAAAGCTCTTTGAAGAGCAGCCAGGATTCATCACTTCTTTTAAAATATCTCTCATTCCTGAAGCTTTAAAATCCTTGTATTTTGTATTTTTGTATTTTGCAGTTGCTTTCAACTATCATAGTATATTCAGTGTAATTACAACGGCAAGGAACAAAATCATTCTCTCCTGAAAACTGTTCCCTATAATTTCCTGAGTCCCTGAAGAAACTTCTGGCTGTATCTTGGGAAAATGCATGTTATTGAGCTTTCCCACTCTGAACAAATATATTTGTTTATGTCTTCGTATTTTTCATATATGCATAATCTAGATGAGAAGCTCATTCATTTTTAACAAAAAATGCTCATGGTTAGAAAAAAAACTCGTATTTTTCCCTATACTTGTTTTACTGACTGTTTGTATAGTGTACTAACCCATGTTTAACTACCTTTATTTGCTTACATTCATACAATCTAAAAAAAACCCTTAACATTTACAATGATTTTTAAGCATACTGCAATTGTTAATTTATTAAGGACTTGTAGTCTTTCACATCTCATCTGTATAACTAATCTGCCTTCTCTTCTTTCTCACCCTTCCTATGCTTTATTCCAATTTAAGTCTTACATCAGTCTTGCTACTCTATGCATTTTATAAAGAGATCTGCTCGTGAAAACTTTTGCCTTTCAAAAAATTTGGTAGTCAAAAAAGGTGCTACTACATTCCTTCTGATTGTAGACTCACACAATGTGCTGAAATAAATTGGGTGTGCAAAACACACTGAGTAGCTAACCAGACATTTTATCCTTGCTTGATTTGAGAACATAGTGTCTGTGTTCCAGCTTTCGGAAGTCTGATTGACTTAACTGTATTTGCCTAGAAGCTTATGCAACGAAGAAGTGTATATTACAAAGAAACTGGTCTAAATTCCTCTCATTCATATCTTACAATAATTAAACATGCATTTACTTTCTGAGTATCAATGGAACAAAAATTTAATTTCCTCTGATCAAAACCAATTCTGGTAATTATGAGCAACCTGTAGATAAATTTGAAGTATAATTATATTTTTTTCTGTAATAAGTTACCGTATCCTGAATGGACAACTGAAAGAGCAAGTTACAGTTAAATGCTGTACTATATAGTTATATAGTTGCATCTTTTTAATTGCCAATTGTAGTTGTACCATGCACTTTCTTAATTTGGAAGTAAAGTCTATGGATGTGCCAAGGATTTCAGCTTTAGAATGACATTTAGGATAAGTAAATTTGGTTATTTACAAATACACTTAATTCTTTAATATTGAAATTATTTTCTTCTTTTAGCTCATGAGCCTGAATTTATATTGTAGATCATGGATGATACCGCATTGTCACTTGGAACAATAGATGTTTCCTATTTGTCATCTTCAGCAGAATGCACTGTCACAAGATGTAAACATTCCAGTGAAGAATGGGTAAGCAAAATGCATGTTCGTTCAGTGCTTCTGGTTTCTTAAGATAAAATGCTAGTGTCCTTTTGAAAGATGAAAAAGTAACATAGAGTTATACTTTAAAAAATTAAGAATGTTATGTACGGATAGTCTTTGCTTACCAAACACTTGTTCAGCAATTATTCAAAATTGCCTCAGTGCTGAAAAACTGGTACTTGTGATTGGTCTTCTAAGTTCTGACCACTACAGCATACCCGTAGTCACATGATTGTGCTTGGAAAACAGTTGCTTGGCAAACAGTTCACTTGATGTTGCATCATCCTGCAGTCACTTAACTAGTATTTCTGATTTTCCCAATTGGCTTACACTAGCAAAGTCAGTGGGGAAGCCGACAGAGAAGTTTCTCTAATAGTCCAGTAAGTTCCTTCAGGCTCCCTATGCTCTTACCCTTCTGTACCATCTATCTTGCAGCTTTCCTGCATGTGCATGTTCCTTCACTATCTAGCCCTGCAACTTTCTGTGCTTGTGTACGACTTGTGCTAGGCCTCACAAATTATCCCTTGGTTCCCAACTTACAGCCTTTGCCAGCCCTTCTAGGGTTCCCTCACTTCCCTGGAATTCCCCAGAGCACTCCTAGGCTTCTTACCTGGGACTTCTGCCACTTCCACCTTAATGACCCCTGTATCATGAGATTACAATGCAGCTGGGATAGCTGGGACTGCAATTGCTAAGCAATGCAGCCACATGATATTGTGTTTTATGACTGTATCCCTTAGCAACAGCAATCCCAGTCTCAATTGCCATTTTAACCCAAGGACTACCTGTAGTGCATTTAGACAGTTTTGTACACAGTTCATAGGGCAGAATAAAATTGATAAAAAATAATACAGTACTGTAACCTAGCATCACTTTCATTCAAAACACCAGATTCATATTACAATAAATAGTACAGATTTATATTATTTCAGATTTATTCCTATAGCAGTTCCAGAAATGTACAGGTAATCCTCAATTTATGACTGAAATTATCCCCAGATTTTTGATCATAAGTCATGGCAGTCATTAAGTAGGCCATAACCGATTTTGTGACCCTTTTTTCAGTGGCCATTAAGTGAACGCTGCGCTAATTAAATGAATGTTGTAGTCATTAAACAAACATGTGGTTGTTAAATGAATCTATTTTACTATTTTACCATCCATTTTATCCAATGGGTATTTTTACCAGAAATAAATTCTGGCAAAAAAATCCCATCAAGCATCACAATCACATAATCACAATATGCTGCAAATGGCCATAAATGCAAACTGGTTGCCAAGCACCCAAAATACAGTTGTGAGTGCATGTGAGTACAGTTGGTGGAACTCCAGAACTGGATTATAAGTACTTTCTGGGGGGACTGTCATATTGTAATGATTCAGTATCAAATATACAGATTTCATATAATTTAAAGGAGGAAAATATTTTGACAGTATAATTGATCTAGATTACTTTAGGTATATATTTGTATATTTGTGAGTCCATGAATGTGTTTAATTCCTTAAATAACTGAATTTGGTTATTTGTTTAAGCAGAACAAATAAATCAATTGTTCTTAACTTTAGCTGGTTCATTTATAGAAAGTAACCTGAAAGAAATTGAGAATTGTCCGTTTTTATGTGCTATATTTATATTTTCTTTACTGTCATTATTTTCCAGGGAGAATGCAATTCTAGGCCTACTGTTTTCCGATCAGCCACTTTAAAATGGAAAGAGACTCTTCTGGGCAGGAATAGGCCATTTGTGGGACGCTGTTGTTACGTATGCACACCTCAGAGCTGGGTGAATGGAATTATATTAGTAACAAACTGAACTGTAATTTTCATGTAATGGTAATTAAATAGCCAGAAGGCAATTAAATTAAGAAGTAGCTATGTACTTACCTTGTATAGCTTAGTTTCAGATTTTGCCTGGTGGAAGTAGAATAATATTTGATGATTCTGTATTAATGAAATACTATAAAACAGGGCCCAGTGATTTGTTCAGGAAAAATGATGATGCATATATTTTTCTTCATTGTTATTTTTCTGTATAGACTGCCCAGAATTGCTGGTGTACAGGAAAATTCAATAGTTATTGTGACCTGGTATTAGTAATAAATTAACATATGGATATATTTTTCACTTGCAGGACAAGCTTTTTAATACTAGTATCCCTTCTTTGGGTCTGCGAAATGTCATCTATATTAATGAGACACATACACGGTAAATACCTTTTTTCAGTATAGTTAATATTGTGATTTATTAAAAAGGATGTTGTAGTTATCTGGAAAATGAGTACAAAGGTTAAATATTAACGTTGGTTTTGCTGAATTGAACCTGAAGAGCAATGACATTTTGGGTTTCAGTGCAAAGGACTTTATTCAAGGCTTCATTATTCATCAACTCTGTTCTTAGAAAACTAGTGTTAATATGAATAATTTAATGAGGCTAGCTTTCAACCAAAAAATTGAAATCTGTACACTGGCTGAGCTTGGAGGGCACCTTTTAAAAAAATATTACTTTAAAAAAAACACTAATTCTGCAATATGGTAGTGCAACAATTTGTATAAGTGCTCCTGAAAACAGGTACTTGTTTCATTGGGCAGAATGAAGCTACATAATAATATTTTCTCGTAAAACTGTGGTGGAATCAGTGGTAAAGGAGAGAAGGAGTAAAGAGACATTCCAAGGATGGAGCTAATTTAGAAAAGGAAATACCTGAAATCAAATCTTTAATACTGTATCTGCCATTTCCTAAGGGAAATACTTGATCTGGCAAGATTCTTGTAAATAGGTGTTTGACAATAAAAGAAGTGCCTTCGCCTGTTCAAGGAGTTGTTCTAGTTGTTCCTTATTTGCGCCTAATAAAACATATGCATGAGAATCAAAATAAATGTACATATTATGTAACATATTTTCTGGCACAAGCCAAAATTTTGTGTTGTCATCTATCTACCTTAACTTTTATATTTAAAAAATGCAAAAGGGCAAGGAGAATTTCAAGTTTGTCAGGGATAGAAAATCCTTTGGCACCTTTAAGTCTATTACATTGGGCATGAATTTGAATGAACAAGAATTTACTTGTCAGATGCACATTTGCAAAGCTAATTTCAAGTTTAATTTTTTATATAACTCATGCTGAAAGTAGATATTAAATATCAGATACTTATAAACTTCAGATTGATAAAAGATAGTTAATGTACAGATAGTCCCCAACTTATAACTGTAATGGAGTCTGCCATTATGATTGTAAATCATGATGGTCATAAAATGAAACCCACATCTCCAAACAATTTTATAACCTTTTTTTTTTGCAAGAGTCATTAAGTGACTGCCACAGTCATTAAAGTAGTGGCTAGTTTTGCCAAAATCCAGAAGTAAAAACTAATAAAACATGATGAGTGGGATGTAACAATCATGAATTAGCTGGATGTCCAGTATCCCACATGTGGTCACATGATCTCAAAGGGGTGTGATTGTGGGAACTTCAGGACCATATTGTAAGTATACCCAGGGAGGTCTTTTTATTTTGAATAGTTGCTAAGTGACTAAATGTAAATCTAGGACTACCTGTATTCCTTTGGCAGCACATAAAAGAACAGATACTATTCTGCATTAATTGTATAATGTAAATATATGCACATAGTAAATTAAGACAAAAAAGAACACATCGTTCATATGTTTTATCTAATCTATCTTAATGTCTTTCCATCAAAGCTCCTATATTTCTTAGCCAAAGAAACTAAGCTTCATGCTGCATTTCATGTATAGAACTCCCAAAATCTGTTTACAAATTGACTCCTGATTATTATAACTTTCAAAGACTATAATTTAATTTGTTTAGTGCAACTTAATTCTGACCAGGCATGTGATGGATTGCACAACAGTTTTAAGTTTAATGATGTTGCAATGCAACCTTCGTATTTCTGTTAATCTGTATTACAAAATACATTTGTCATTTTAAAATATTAACAGCAATATTGGAACTCCAAAGAACAACTAATTTATTCTCATTACTTCTTTTGGTGCTTTAATAACCCATAGTTTAGTAGAATAATTTTAAACAATGTTTTTAACTTAGAAGCAGACATAGACATGGATATAGAAAGCCATGTATACTTAAAGAAGAGATCTTGTTAACTTTTGTTTTTCTAGTATTGTTCTTTCCTGACATGGCTTGACTTACCTGCTACTTAATACTATTGCATTTTATAATGTTGTTTTTCTTTATTCTTTATATGCCACTTAAAGTTGCCTGATAAATAAAAGTGCAAATTGGCATTCCTTTCCCATTTAATCCCAGAATTGTTATTTCCTCTATAAATTCATCGTTGACATTGTTGGTGTCTTCCACCTTCAAATGCTCACCCAAAATGATTTGCTAGCTTTATTAAATTTACATCATGTATATTTGAACGAATGAGCCAAACCATGTTAGATCAAGATGAAGGGATGAATCAATTTTATTCAGTTCCATAGATCTCTTAAACAGTTTCTATTATTATCTGCACATAGTACCAAATAGTTTTGAATTTAGAGTTGCAGAAAAACTCAAGTATTATTATTATTTATTTTGGTTTCTTAGGCTGTGAAAATCTTGGGTTAATTTTCATTTTGCTTGCAGATTTGTTCTAAGCAAGATGGCCCAGTTAAGAAAGAAAAGATGAACTAAAATAAACAAAACTCTTCGTTTAGTATGTTCTACCTATATTTATGTGCAAGGCTGAATTAACAAGTAATTAATATTAACAAGGATTTAAGATGAACATATTTCAGCCAAGAATTTGCCTCATGTACTGCATTTCTATCTGTTTTTTCCTCCAGTCACTTCTGCTATGATACTGTTAAACAGATCAACTCAAAGTGACTTCTACTAATTTTATTAGTGGGAATGATATGATATAATATGATATGATATGATATTTTGGTAGTCATTTGCAGTATAACTTTCTAATAATGGGTCTCTTTAAATTCTTCCACAATATTTATAGGTATAGAGGTTGGCTTGCTCGGCGGTTTTGTTATACTCTTTTTGTGCAAGAGCGGGATGTTCAAAAGAGCATGTTTGCAAATAATGTGATGGAAAATGTACTGAATAATAACCGGTAAGATGAAGATAACAGTGATTATTGTAATTGAAAAGTTCTTATGTATAAATAATAAATGTTCAACTTATGGGAAGTCCCCAAAAATGTTTTTTTTCTTATACAGCAGAAATTCTGGATTTTAAAAGCAATTATTTTGAATTTCTTCCTATGTATGTACACAAGCTATAACATCTTAAATCCTGTTTACAAAGAGTCTTCATTATATCCTTGTGTCTAGCTGTGGGCCATCAATTACTTAGAGGCATCTTCAGTAGCATGCAACTTTTTGGGAATGCAGCCATACTTTTGTCTAACATTGTGCAGGTTATATTTCAAAAGGAAATGGGTAGAATTCAATGGAATCAGAATAAAGGCTAAAATTCATTTTATTTACACATACATTTAATTAAAATAAAGTATAGTTAATATGATCACTCTTTAGTCATAAAATTATTGTAAGTAATATTAAAAATTGCAATTGTGTTATAACAAACAGAAGTCTGGTTTCTGCACCTAAGGCTGTAAAGGAAGTTGGGTTGTATAATTCTCCCTTACAAATTGTAAAGATTGTATGATTATGTAGATTCACGTATCAGCATATGTAAATATATGCACAGTCTTATACCTTATAACCTTGAAATGTCATCTATATAATACTGGAAGTCTTCAGCTTATGAACCACAATTGAGCCCAACATTTCTGTTGTTAAATGGAACATTTGTTAAGTGAGTTTTGCATCATTTTATGACCTTTCTTGCCATAGTTGTTAAAGTGAATCACTGTAGTTGATAAGTTAGTAATCCAGTTGTTAAGTGAATCTGGCTTCCCCATTGATTTTGCTTGTCCAAAGGTTGCAAAAGGTGATCACACGACCCTGGAACACAGCAACGGTCATAAATATGAAACAACTGGCAAGCACCTGAATTTTGATCACATGATCATGGGGATGCAGCAAACGTCGTAACTCTGAAAAAACGTAATAACTTTTTTTTGGTGCCATTGTAACTTTGAACAGTCACTAAATGAACTGTTGTAACTTGATGACTAGCTGTATTTTTAAGTGAAAAAATCATGAATATTCCAAATACAGAGTACTGCAGTGTATTGTTAATTAGAAATAATGATGGGGATATTTTTAATCTCTGAGTTTTGGGTATGTTTAAATTGAAGATATATGATCTGAAGTAGTTGAAATCTACAATAAATCTTCAATTCACTTTATATTTGTAACATTTAGAGTGCAGAATGCTATTATACAGGAGGCTTCAGAATTAGCTGTAAATGGTGCTGATCAGCTGGAATCTAGAAATATTAACAGAATCAAGAAGAAAGCTAGAAGGATCCTTCAAGAAATGGTAGCAAATGTCTCTCCTTCTCTGATTAGGTAATAATACTAAGTTTGGTTTGTGAGGTCTGTGTATACTCAATATTGCTTATAGCCACAGAGATATTTGTTATTTCTTATCTAATATTGTTTTTCCATTGTCATTGTTGCAAAATGAATAAAACTCATTCTCTGCCCTTGAAGAATTCTTTCGTATATTAATGTATCAAAACTATTTTTTCAATGGGACAAGGGAATATGTTCTCAATAAGTGTTATTTTATCAGCCCAACATTACACTCTGTTCAGAATTATGTGGAATTAAAATTTCTTTGTATGTTATATTTTTACAGCTGATAGTAGTCTATCAACTATTGTTTAAACTATGTTAATAAAATTTTCACACTCATTTAACACTCTTTTGGTTGATCATGAATGATGTGATTGTTTCTGTTTTGAACATGAACAGTGACTAATATATTTGTATCTATCAATTATTTGTATAAAACTGATTACATGGTGTCTTATATTTTTCTTTCAGGTTAACAGGTTGGGTTTTATTGAAATTATTTAATAGCTTTTTTTGGAATATCCAGATTCATAAAGGCCAACTAGAGATGGTGAAAGCAGCAACTGAGGTAATAAAATTAATTAAGGCAATGTATGCAATGGTACTGCAGCATTTTTATTTTTATACTATACTAAATATCTAGTTATTTTCAGATTCAATCTGTAAAATATTCAGGAAAAAAATATCTTTACTTTTCTTTCCTGAAAAAGACACCTTTGATAAAAGGGTATAAAAAGTAAAATTTAGTCACATCCAGCAGAATCTGATTTAAAGTGTTAGTCTTAAATTTCAGCACATAATCACTTAATTGCTTATTTAATAAATACAAATAATGCTTTAAATGTTGTTGCCAGAAGATTTTTTTGTATAGTAAATTGTGTTAATGCATTCTATGTCTTCCTCAATGTTTATAAGGAGAAATGCAAAAGTTAGGTTTTATAATCTTTTTTCAATATCCAGTCTCATTTTGGTTTCTGAAGATTGTTGAATTTATGAATCTGAATCTGAATTACTGGCCAAGATATATTGTAGTATATTGTCAACGAATGATGTATGTTTGGAATAACATCCACTTGAAATTTCATAATTGCGGACTATTTAAGTGATAGTTTACTATCAAGTAGTTATCTATTTTTTATTTAATATATTTTTGCCATTAATTTCCAGATTATTTAATTTTAAAAGTATTGAAGTATTGTTCAAAGTTTACATTGCTATATAATCAAAATACAAAGTAAAGTATATGTTTCAAGTCCACCTTAGATTACCCATAGCATGATACAAATAAAGCAGTTGTATTTAATTGCTGTAAACATTGCTGAAAATCTATTGCCTGTGAAATATATATCCTTTCTATTTCATTCAGTCCATCTTCCTTTCTCTCCTATTGACAATGCAAGTATTACCAAAAGAAAAAAAGGAACACAGTGGAAGTGCAGTAGTTTGATATGTTAAAATTATATTTTGACATTGAACTCTTTTTTTCTTCTTCATACAGCTAAATTTGCCTCTTGTCTTCTTACCTGTTCACAAATCTCACATTGACTACCTACTTCTCACATTCATTCTTTTCTGCCACAATATCAAGGCACCCTACATTGCAGCCGGAAATAATCTGAATATTCCTTTTTTCAGGTAAACAGTATCAGTTCTTTTACTATGTTAATGTCAGCCAATTTTGTTCCCTTACCTGACCAAGATGAATTATCAAGAAGCTACCTAAATGTGTAACATGCATTGACTATAAGTGCATTGTTGTATGACATATTATACATAGTCAACAACTTTTACCTTAATTTGGTAAATAAATAGAACTGAGATTTCAATTGTAGTGGTCTTATTCTGAAATTCTGATAACATTTTAACATATAAAAAATCCAGAATTTTAACATTGTCCATTTTCACATTACTGCACATGAAATTCCTGTGTCAGAAAGGAATCATACTAAATAGAATGAAAAAATGTATTGTATCTGTACTTCAAGAACTAGTAAATTCTTCCTGATAGACAGAATAGTCGACTTCTAATATAGGAATATATAAAATAGAAGTTGAATATATAAAAATATTTGTACGGCATAAAGTTTTATAATTACCAATTCTTCACTATTGAACTCTCATTTATCTCACATTTTAAAAAATAATCAACTATTCCTAGCTAAATAGAACTGTAATACTTCAAAAGAAAAGTTTTTTTTTTTAAAAAAAACTTAAGATATATTTTGTATACTTAGCATGTATCTTTAAATGAAATGTTTCTTCAGAACTACAAGAATCAACACTTGCATTTAAACATGTTTTAACATATATTTATATGTAACCACATTTTCCTCAATAAAAACATTAAGAAAAAACATATCAAGAAAAAAGTGAACACTTGTAAATGTTTTTTGATGCATAATGCTAGGAGCAATTGATTTGAAAGCATCTAAAGAGTTTATAATCACATGCTCAACTAATATTTATTAGTTTTTTTCCCTCTCATATTATGAAAATAATATGCACTTGTATTTTTTAATCTGATACAACTTTTGTCAATTTTGCCTTCTTTCCCTTTTAATTAAAGAGGCATGCATATTTTATTTCCTATCCTTAGCACCTTAATCCACAAACTTGGAGGTTTTTTTATTAGAAGAAAATTAGATGAGAGACCTGATGGCCGAAAAGATATTTTGTACAGAATGTTACTGCATGTGGTAAGTACATTTTAAAAAAACAACAGTTTATTTCTGCAAATTTGATAATAAGACCTGTGTACCATTTCATTGCACAATGCATATTTAAATTTGTAGCAAAGTTCAAAATTTAAATCAGTATCATTTCACTTTATATGGTAAATGAGGTAAAGTTCCTTTCAGGGCTAAGTCCAGATAATACAAAAGATTCACTATGGTAGAAAGGCTTCTGCCAAGAAAAGTGGAAAACTTGTACTTTTATGTATTTCTGGAAACTGTGATGACTTCATGGATCACTGTATGCATGTCAGTAGTGGTATGGTCTATATGTGTCACCTGAATAAATTTATATACTTTAATTAAATGTTGAAACTGCATCTAATATCTATATATAAACTAATATCTATGCAACTATATGCTCTTAATTGTGGGCACTATTGTTAGTAGACACCAAGTTACTTGTGATCTTTCAGTAATAATTATCCCATGCAACTTTGTGTCATTCCAAGAAAAGTAGAATTGTATTTTATAGATGTGGGCATGTTGTTTAAATGATTAGAAATCTTGTTCCGCTCAGAGTTCGAGTTCCAAATTTGAACAGTGCTCATGGTAGTTGCCCACTTTATAAACAATGCAAAGAATATTTGAAACAATGCAAAGAACTTGTGTCTGATCTTGTTGCTATTCTCTTTTCAGCATATTGAAGAGTTGCTTCGACAGCAGCAATTCTTAGAGATATTTCTGGAGGGGACACGGTCCAGGAGTGGCAAAGTAGCCCATGCAAGGGCAGGTCTTTTATCAGTGGTGGTAGATGCTCTGTGTTCAAATGCTGCTCCTGACGTACTAATTATACCTGTGGGAATCTCCTACGACAGAATAATTGAAGGTCACTATGCTGGTGAGCAGCTGGTAAGAGGTGCTATTGTATGCTTAACGTATTTATAAATTTAGAGTTACTATTGACAATTCTGCTAATAAACTATAGTTTTAAGACAGGTTAACTTTCATCTGTACTTAATATGCCACAAAATAAAATCATGCAGAAAAAAAATCATTCAGGGAAAAATGTTTAAAACTATATGTTCATTTAGTGAAAGCAACTTTATAACAACTTCACATGTTTTGGAGGACCAATGAATTAGATTTAGTTTTATTTTTGAATAAGAACAGACACAATTGATGTATTAATGTAATATGATTTTTCCCCTCTCTTTTTCTTTTCAATGTCTTTCAGGGAAAGCCCAAGAAGAATGAAAGCCTATGGAGTGTAGCCCGAGGGGTCTTTCGAATGTTACGAAAGAATTATGGATGTGTTAGAGTAGATTTTGCTCAGCCATTTTCTTTAAAAGTAAGCTTATCTTTTAAGACTAAAATTCCATTGAGAAGCTGTGAAAAAGATATTTTAAACTATTTGAATTTCAATAGAAACAATATTTCAAGTTTTTACTTCATGCACAATGGTATTGCTCAAACAAAAGAGTTTTGTAGCTGAAATCTCATGCTAGAAAATGGATTCTTACACATTAACAAAGTTCTGAATATGTGATGCTATGGCTTCAAGCTATTAATCAAAGAAAACAATAGTAGTACCAATAATAACTGGAGCAAATGGAGCATCACTTGAGCATCTTGAACCCCTTCAGCATTGACAATTTTACTTACTGTTGGTCAATTGCAAAAGGCAGCTTTATCTGGATCACTTTACATCCTTCATATCTTTAACACTATCAAACAATGTCTGCCTATTCACAGATCCTTGGGAAGGACTTGATAAGTGGATGAAATTAGCTAATTCAGTGCAAACATCTGGCTGATTTTAACCACCAACAAAAACAACAATAATTTACTTGGAACAGCTTACATTCTTTGATGATATATTAATATTATTAAACAGCAACATCTGACTGACCAAAGACTGAGAGATCAAGGTTGGAAAAAGCTAGTAGAGCTTCTTTTTTTTTGAAGCAATGATGCAAGAAGTTTCACTTAGAAATATCTAAAAAATTCATTATTATCTTTTCAGTTTGGTTGTCATTTATTTTAGATCAGGGATATCAAACTCGCGGCCCATGGGCCGGATGCATCACACACTGGCCACACCTACACCCTATTTAGCTAAGGGGAAAAAAGTTGGGATGCATCATGTGATGACGTGAGTTTGACACCCCTGCTTTAGATTCTAGAGGTAATAAAGGCACTTCAAAAATTACATGTTTTTAGTATATTATATTATTGGCTAATTGTCAGTATTTGCTACTATGACAATCTCTGAAAATCCTTTTGCTAATCAGTAAGATAGTTGTTATAAATGTTATGTTTTTACAGGAATATTTAGATTGCCAAAATCAAAAACCTTTGCCTGTTCCTCTTTCTTTGGAGCATACTCTGTTACCAGCTGTACTGTCTTCAAGGTAAGATGAAACTGAGGATTTTCTATCAATGATGAACAAGCAACAATCAAATATACTGTTAAATCTACAGAGTAAATTATAAATGTTGAGGAAGTTCTTTTTCAAAGTCCAGTTCATCAAGCTTTAACACATATCTAAGGATTCATGATCAAAATGTTTTCTGTGAATTTCCTTTGAATAAGTTAGAAATCTGTTTAGATAACAAATCCATCATTTTAAATTGAATATTATCATACTTAATTATGCATACAATTAACTAGTACATTTCAAAAATGTGCAGTCAAAGTAGTTAATACTTTGAATTCTAGCTGTATGTCTAGCAATTATAGCATAAATATATCTTGAATTTTGGGTATTTGATCGGATTTGACTAAGTTTGAGCTAGGCTATTGAATTTTTTGGGGGGAAAACTTAAGTAATTGATTTTCTGGAATTATGTATCAGCTACTTAACAGCTTAAAACTTGGGGAGTTTTATGTATTTTTTTCCATATTATCGAGAAAAAAAAGATTTTGAAGAATTGTTATAAGATAGGAAAGTTGTAAAATGTATCATTACTTCAAAGTAATTATTTCTTGAGGATATGAAAATCTTAAGATAAAGCATGCTTTACTATTTTGCAATACAACCTGGATACTACCTTGGGCATCCAGACAGTTTCTTTGTTAATACAATGTGATTCCATGAAGCAAGCAGTTGTAAGAAAACTCTGTCAGACTTAGATCTATAATTTAATCAGGGAAGTGTGGTTGAGGATAGACTTGCCCTAAAGTAATTTTCAAAATCTGTTCTTGTAAGACAAAATCTGTTCTTATCTGCAAGTTCAGTGCTGTCTCCCTCGCAAATATAGTCTTTAGCACTGGGAACTGCAACTCTTAAATATTTTTAGGTCTTACGATGACATAATTCATAAGTACAGTTTATATAGTACATCCATTCTGTTATTTATCTTCAGGCCTAACTACATAGTGGGAGAAAGTTCAGAAACTGCCCTTCCTGATTCCAAGGATTTATCTTGTGAACCACTGAGAAGACAATTAATAGCTAACTTGGCAGAGCACGTAATGTTCAGTAAGTATTCGTTGTGGAGTTCATTCTGCATTTTCTCTGTCACATTGAACTTTCTAAATAACAGGGCTTTCCTCATTCTGCATCATTCTTTTTTTGTCTTAAAATTGCACAGTTTTTAATCTGAGATACGTCATTTTGAATAAGTCTCTTTATTACAGTCATTGTATTTACTGTATTTTAGAATTTTACTTAAAATTATAGATTGCCTTTCCTAGAGTGGTGTAATACCTTCTGGATTGCACCAATATAGGTATCATGTCATATCTACTTATAAAAGGTTAATGTGTGAATAGCGTAATCTTACTTTTCTTGAACTATTTATCCTAATATTTCAGAGTTCAGCTCATTCAAATAAAGTCTACAGAATCTAGATTTGTATGATATAAAAGAAGCACAATTACTAAAACTTAAAGTTTATTTTTGATCAATAGATGGTTTTTTGTGCTGCCTTAATGAAAATGAAAAAAGTCTTTCTGTATAATAATAATACTTAATTCAGCCAGGACTGACATTTTATAACTGCTGCTTTCTGAGCCTTTCAGTTGCAATCCAAAATGCCAGTATAGCTTTACTCTGTTTTGTTTTTGCTTTTAGCTGCCAACAAATCATGTACTGTGATGTCAACACACATTGTTGCCTGTTTGCTGCTCTACCGACACAGACAGGTAAGGCTACTGTGTTTTTGCATTCACTGAATAGACTTGCAAAGGGTCAGCAATACTGAAAACATGCTCTGTACCAGTGGTTCTTAACCTTTTTGAAAGAATTGCCCTCTTGAGCCATTGAGGAAGTTATCATCGCCCCCCCCCCCCCCAACATAACCTTTCAATCACAACACAGGGAAATAATTCTTCAATTTATGCAAACACATTTTTTGTTTTCTTTAAAATCGTCATCAGGACATATCGATGCAAATAATTTATTTCCAGTCTTTTTCCCATATCTCAACTGTGTGAAAAATTCTGATGCCACCCATCACTTTACTCCCAAACTTCGTGATACATGTATTTCATTAATATCTTATTTATTAAAGGTACTTAAATGCAATGACCACTGAAAACCAAATTCAATTGCAAGAAAATGAAATGCCCGAAAAAAACAGTAACATTTAATAATTTAATTACAAGTGAATTTTAAGATGCAAAAAGAAATATAAAAAGGGTATAAGACCGCAATGCAGGAACTAAGATTTTCAAGATGAAAACTCTGAAACTAAATTAAGATTCAAGGAAAATATATATTCATGCGCACTGTAAAAAGGTTTAAAAAGACACAAAGAAAATTTTTACAGAAAGAAAGCAACAAAAATCAGAGCGACAAATTTAATGGGTAGAGTGATAGAGGCTGTTGCGCAATCCACATGAAGATGAGTGATGCGTATTCACATATGTATGGTGTTCTTTACTGAAGCCAGCTGGAGGAACATTTTAAAACACAGTTCAATCCACTAATAGCAAGCAATCTGGTGTTTTTGTATGACAGATATACAGCGGTTCACTGTACGAAAAAAGTCTCAAAAGTTCTCACTCCATCACTCCATATTGCCCCCCTTCCGATCCTTCGCCCCCGCGCTGCCCCTTTTCGTTCCATCACCCGCCTAAAAAATGAAATCGCCCCCTGGGGGGCAATATCGCCCAGGTTAAGAACCACTGCTCTATACTTTTGTTTCCCTATTTTATCTTATTTAGTTTGTTGAGGAATAGGATGCATTTATAAGCTATGTGTAAACTGACTGTTAATTTATTCCTATTCTCAGAAATAAGGAAGGAAACCACACATATTTAGAAACATTCCTTATCCAGCTCCAAGCTGTACTGTACTAGATGAATGTATTATCTCCTTCCTGAAAAAACTGCTGGTTCATTGTAGTCCATCACACCAGCATCCTTCTGTGGGCATCATCTCTCACACAAACCAACAAAATATAACTACCCGTCCCCTCAGTATGTTGCTTCAGGCCATAATTCTTAAGTATCATAAATGTTATTTCAGTATTTCCTAGGATTATAACCCTCATTCTTTGAAAATTATTCGAAGCAATCCTACTAATGCATCAATGTAATCAATATATGCATACTGTTGAATCTTTTTTTGTGTACTAGGGCTTTTCTATTATCCTGAATCTATCTATCTATCGTCTGCTGTATATTACTCTTCCTTTTCAAATGATTTATAAATAAGTTTTGGGTGGAAGTGAGATATCTTAAATAAAACTATCATAAAAATCAGTGGCTAAAACAATAGCAATAACACTTAGACTTATATACTGCTTTACAGTGCTTTCCAGCCTTCTCTGAGCGGTTTACAGAGTTAGCATATTGCCCCCAACAATTTTGGGTCCTCATTTTACCTACCTCGGAAGGATGGAATGCTGAGTCAACCTTGAGCCTAGTGAGATTTGAACTGCCAAATTGCAGGCGCCAGCAGTCAGCAGAAGTAGCCTGAAGTACTGCATTCCAACCACTATGCCACTGTGGCTCATACAATACTTGTTTTTCTTTTAATGACCCTGTAATTCCTTGCATTGGAGTGGAATCAGGGAGACTGAATGAAGCTGAGCATTTCCTGGATGGATGCCCTTCCTGACCACCACAGGGAGCTTGCAACAGATTTCTTTGTGCCCAGAGAAAAGAGAAATATCTGCTGCTAAACTCAGCCTCCTGATATTGAGGAAAGAGTTCCATCTCTAGGCCACCACAGCGTTCAGCTAAAAACAATAAATACATATTCTAAAAACTCTGTTTATTTCAAGAAAACAAAACTAAAATAAATATGCCAATTTAAATGGTATATAACGGAATATTTCTTGCTCTTCTGACCTTAGCAAATAGGAACATCTTCAGTGGTTTCTGAAAGAAAAATGTGGGCAAACAAGCTTTTTTTCTGACTTATATGATTGGAGAGCTGTCATTTGTTTACTTCAATACTTTGTCTAGGGAATTGATCTTTCTAAACTGGTGGAAGATTTCTTTTCGATGAAGGAGGAGGTCTTGGCTCGGGACTATGACTTGGGATTTTCAGGGAATTCTGAAGATGTTGTCATGCACGCTATCCATTTGTTGGGAAACTGCATAACCATCACAAACACCAGTCGGAATAATGAGTTCTTCATCACTCCCAGCACAACTGTTCCTGCTGTCTTTGAACTCAGCTTTTATAGCAATGGGATACTGCATGTCTTCTTCAAAGAGGCTGTCATCGGTATGTTCTAAAACTGTCCTTACTCTGATGCCTGAAATATTCCCTGCGTAATGTCGCTGTTACTATTTAAGAGGTTGTGTTTGACATATAACGCAGTACCTTAGGAATAACTTTGATATATCTTCTCTTTTGCTTCAGCATGTAGTCTTCATGCTTTACTGAACAAAAGGCATAGAAATGGTATCAGTGGGATTCTACCCAATGTGGTTAGTCAAGAACAACTGGTCCGAAAAGCTGCCAGCCTCTGTTATTTGCTGTGTTATGAAGGAACTGTTTCATTGGTAAGTGTTGGATACAGATTCATTTGACACATATTCTGTTGCTACCATCATATCATTTGTATTATGCTACAGTACTGTGGGTCAAATGGAGGTGTACTCGAGTTCTTAAAAAGAGGAAATGAAGAAGGGACAAGACAACAGGTAGCTGCAAGCTGTAGCAGTTTCCCTTTATATAGAGAAGTGATAGGCAAGTTCTCTCTGTATATATCACACACACACACACACACACATTATGTCTAAAATGTGACTAGAAAAAAGAACATTATTGACAAAGGCAATAAATATTGAACAAATTATTTTACAGCTTAAACCATTTTAAATGACACTTAAAATGAAGCTAGAAAATATTTCAAAGCATTTTTTCTCATTTTTACATACAATTATTATATATAAAATATACATCCTTTAAAATAAAAAGCTCATAATAATAAATAAGATTCTTTATTTATTGATAATGATAGATAATGTTGTATTCTGAATCCAGTACTATTGCTTCCGGTATTACATGAAGAAGTACCAAGTGGATTTTTTTTTTTTAAAGTAACATCTTACCCTGTTCAGCAAACTATGGTTATTAATTCCTGATAGAGGAACTGTTCAGTGAATGATCTTCCAGCAGACTCAAGGCAATTTAGACCTAATGGTCTACAAAGTTAAAAACTAATCCTTTCTACATTAGAATATTTAACCATGTTGGAATTTAAAGTGTGACGGATATATCAAGCATTAAAGCTGATAGTATAACACAAGGCAGATTGGAACAAGCTGTGTAAAACAACATACAGCACTAGCTGAAATAATACATAATAACACATATTGAAATATGTATGACTAATAATTTTTCAATTTTTCTGGAATAGCTTTTGGGATGAAACGTGGACAAAGAAATTTTCAAATATGGGAGAAAGGTTCTTTCTAGTTCTGTAATTGTTTATTTTCCTCCTTTCAGTTTTCAATTACGGTGGAATTAAAACAAATGCATTACCTGTGTTTCCTCTGAAATAGGAAAATACTTGCAAATACATCCTCAGATCTGATCTACACATTTACTTTACTATCTGTTTCAGACAAATAGTTATTATTGACTTGAAGTAGCTGCAGAGGAAATTAACAATTTCTTTTCTTGAAATCATCTTGTTTTTATAAGAAATTGTTGTTCATTTTATGCAAGAATATTCAAAAGCAGCAATCAATAGAGAAAAATAGCACAACGAAAGATAATAATCATGATTGATCATATTTGTTTTCCTATTCAGCCCTGTCAGCTGTTAGGTCAAGTGTGCCATGAAGCAATTGAACAGTTCATACAATATGGAGTTCTTTTAGTAGCAGAGGTAAGATTTTGATGATGTTTTTTATGTATCTAGATATTTATGGGCCTTGAACTATAAATTTCCCAACTTTTTATACTCATTTCACTGCAGAAAATCTTTTAAGAATTCTTCTTCAGGCCAAATAAGTTTTGATGCTTAGTTTTGTATATATAATGTTATTGATATCAGGAAAATTAATTCTAATAAAAATAATATAAAGGAATAAAAAAAATTAAGAAATAAAAGAAAAAATGCAAGGAAATAAAATTGAAGAAAAATGGAAAAGAACAAATATTCTTTACATCCAGGGGTGAGATTCAAATTTTTAACAAGTTCTGTGGGTGTGACTTAGGTGATGGGCATGGTTGGTGGCCATGTGACTGGGTGGAAATGGCTTGGTGATCATGTTATTGGCTGGGCATGGCCAACTCAATATCACTCACATCGAGGCACGCATCTCCTCGCCTGGCCTCTCATGACTGTGGGTATGTGTGAAAATGGTCATAAGTCACTTTTTTCAGTCCATTGTAACTTTGAATGGTCACTCCACACAAGCAAAGTACCAGCAAAGGAGGGGAAAAAAACTCCAGAGAAGTTCCAGAGACAGGAAGTCTAATCCTGCCAAGAATGTAATAAGGGTTAATGGAGAGGCAGATTCTGTAAGCAACACCAGAATGTTTCCTTCCTGCCTTCCTTACAGGATTAGGCCAGTAATTTCTTCTAACAACTAGTTCTCCGAACTGCTTAGAATGTTAACAACCGGTTCTAGCGAATAGATGCGAACTGGTAGAATCCCACCCCTGTTCACATTGGTTATAAATATAAAAAATAAGATGGGATTGGATGGGTTAAGAAAAGAAAAAAGAAAAGAAAAATTTTGTTTTCAAATATTGATTTTTAAAATCTGTATCAAAGTGTATTCAGAATTTTTGGTAGTTAGAATGTTCAGCATTCTACTATTTTAGTAAAAATATTGCTTATTAATTAATATTTATTAATAGTTACATAAATATCATCATATATCTGCAGGGAATTAAAAATTTAGTTGGCTGTTAAATCTATCACTTTTTTCCCAACATGCTTGTTTGACTCAGTTCCTTTAGACTCAGGAGTTGAAATCAGACATTTACTTTTTCATTGATTATTGTTAAATTGTTGCATTGCATATTTTTATTTGTTCATTAACTTCAGCATGCATAATGAAAAAAGTTAATTAACTTCATTATTACTATTAATCATTTAGATTAAAGCATTCCACTTTTCTAGTTTAAGGACACTATCCTTATACTGATAGAAGAAAAACTAGATATAAATTACTTTTGTGTGAAGGAGAATTTGTTAAACATAAAGGTTAACCATTAAAGATTTTCTTTCCCTTCCTAGGGGATCAACTATAGCTATTTAGCAAGACAATTTTATGAATGACATAACTTTTGGTGGCAGTGTTGAAAGACCTCTTTCTCTCCTAATGCTTGGTTAATAAGCAAGTGTTGAAGCAGGAGGAAGATTATTTTTGCTTTCACAGTGTATAACCTGATGACTGCCTGATGAACCTTCTCAGCATCTTCTAATGTTTATACTTTTGTTCGGCCATCATCTTCCAATATTCTTAGGTTAGATGAAATTTGGAACTGAAATATGAATATACAGTAGTTTTGTATCTTGCTGATTTTAAAGGAACTATTCTTAAAGAGATCTCAGTAAGTAGATAGGTACCATTTTCTTTTTTTTTCCAAGCTGTATTTACTTATACTTTCAGAATGAAGAAATATTATTATATATTAGATTAAGTATGTGTATGCATGCATATGTTTCTGTTAGATAGACAACTAAAAGATAGACAACTAAAAGTTAACAATAAAAAATGTAGCAGTCAGCACACCAGAAGGAACTAAACTAATTTTGAAAAAGGATAAAAAGCTTAGGCAAGAAATCCTCAACAGGTTAAAAGAAAAGCATATATGAACGCTGTGTTCCTGATTTATTAATTGTATTTATTATTAATTATATAGGTTCAAATTTAAAGCATTCTTTGTGTGTGCAATACAGAATTCTCCAGGAGATGAAATTATCAAATTAAGAAACTCAAACACTAATGTTTATATTTGTGCAAATTGCTGTAGAGGAAATTATTTAAAACTCTGGAATTCTGAAAAATCTGAAAATACCTCAGGTGTTTTATAACCTAACACATGAAATATGCTTGAATCATGTTTCTATAGTGACGAAGTTGAATTGGTTCCATTTCTATGAAATTCAGTGGCAGAGACTTTCTGCAAACTGAAAGTTTCCAGTGATAGATGACACCTAGATTTTAATTTTAAGGGAAGTGTCTTTAGCAATTAGCTTTATTTTCAGTGTAAAGCATAACAGTGATAATAATGCAAGCCAATCTTTGTCATTAATTGCGCAATGTTGATCCAGCATCTTTGGTTTATAAATGAGACACAGGATTTCTTTGGAAATGAATAGTTGGATCTTCTTCCTTTGCTAACACCTGAAATAACTACAGAAAAACCCTAGTATGAAAAGCAATAATTCACAATGAAAAAAACATAATTCTTATAGTTCTGTTTTTCTATTCTAAGCAGGAAGAACAGGAAGATATTAGTTCTCGGCTTACGGAGCAAAACTGGGAAAAGAGTATTCCGGAGCCATTGTCTTGGAAAAGTGATGAGGAGGATGAAGACAGTGATTTTGGTGAAGAACAACGAGATTGCTACTTGAAGGTACTAAGTAGATTTGTAGGATCAAGTCCTGTGTGTCTATATGTGTCTGTGTATAATTGTTCCATAGCATAAAATGGATTAAAAGAAAAGAAGGAAGAAAAAATTGCAAGAAATGAAAAAGATAGTTTCTAAGAAATAAGCCCAGATTTCTTTTAAGCAGATTTTGAGATACTATGATGTGTTGCTGAATAACAGCTTATGGCAATGCAACAATTGTTCTAATCATGGCTGGGTGAACAATCCAAAAGACAAAGCAAACAAACAAACAAAACAGTAAAGCAGTAATGGAGTTTTAGTTCCCTTTAAAAAAAAGTTCTTGCTTTATATGTCCATGAATTGATTAGATGCTGGCCCAGGAAAACAAAAATTAAGACACAGAAATAAACAAGGAACTCACAAAGCAAACCATATTTTCTGTTTATATCATGTGCGAAACCAGATAAGCTAATAACAGACTCTAGTTTTAAACAATAGTTTACCACCTGAGATAAACCATAATTTATTCCCTGGCCTGCCCTCCTGCAATCTGATAATGTCTGGATTTTAGTGTATGGGTTTAGCATTATGTACATATACTGTTGCATTATCCTCTTAGTGATTGTTTTATTATTATTATAGGTGAGTCAGTCACAGGAACACCAGCAATATATCTCCTTCCTGCAGAAGCTTCTAGGGCCATTACTGGAGGCATATAGTTCAGCCGCCATCTTCATCCATAATTTCAGTGGACCTGTCAGGGAAACAGACTGTCTTCAAAAATTACACAAATACTTAGTATCAAGAACAGAAAAGAATGTTGCAGTTTATGGTATGTCAAATAGTTATTTCTGTAGAAGTATTGGAATTATGATTTAATCATATTGTTTTAGACAGTGGCTTTTTAAATCTGTAAATTAACAATATTACTGTTATATTCACAGCTGAAAGTGCCACCTATTGTCTTGCAAAAAATGCAGTTAAAGTGTTTAAAGACATGGGGGTAAGTCTAGATAGCTATTGCTTCATAATAATTATAGCAAACCTAAACATTAGTCCTTAGCATGTAATACAATGTATGTGATCAACTTTACAAATTTGTTATTTAGTGTGTCTGTGTGTGTCTGTGTCTCTGTGTGTATATTTATATAGTTTTATCAAGAATAAAAAGCAAAACGGGAAAACAAAAAAACACACATCCAATATTTGTTGCTTAGTTTTTTAATGTTTTCATTCTTAATCTGAGATTACAGCATAAAATCAAAGGGCAGCAATCTTCAGATAGTATGGGTTTCTCTAAAATAAACCATCCCAAATTTTGGCAGTGTTTGAGAAATTTGAAATTTTTGTGAGCTCTTGCATGATCTTGCATAGGAGCGCCTGCTGTCTAAAAAAGCTCATGCAGAAAAACTAACATTTCATTAAATGTGATGATCTTGTAACACTTTGTGCTTTTCATTTTTTAAAAATTAATTTTGAAGCATGTAGACACATGTTGCTCTGAGTATCATGTTCTGGACTCTGCTAATTCAAGGAATTAACTCAAATTATCTAAATTATACTATGTCAAATTATTACTGTGCCTGTGAATATGTTTGTTAGATTAAGTGGCCATGTATTTGGAAAATATTCAGCAATTAATCTAACAGGATAAAAATGAAATGGTTTTTTTTAACGATAGAATGTAGAAAACTTTTAAACACGTATAGCTAAATGATAACTGTGTTAAAATAAGGATTTGCTTATCCAATATTGTCTCCGATTACAACTTCTTTCACTATTACAATCAGACCAAGAACAGGATCCAATCTATGTCGGTCACTGGGACCAAGGTTTATTCTTCCAAGCCTTCAGGATTGAGCTGGAGCTCAACCACAGGGCAGTTCTCTCTCTTCAGAATGTTATATTCATATTCCAGAATATGACCTATTTTGGAGAGACAGAATTTCCATGATGATGGGCTCCAGCATGATTTGAAAGCTTGGAAGGATAAACCTTGGCCCAGTCACCGACTCATTAGATCTGCAACATTATCCTGGGACACATATCTTTTCCCTCATTTGCAAGGCCATGAGCAGGTCACAGTTATCTGATTTACCTTTGACGAGCTGATATTTTGGCTCTCAAACTGAACCAGAATCGTTGATTGTCTATGTTACCTATATAGAATCAATGCATATTATGATTGTTAACAAATATGCAATGTGCCTAGAAGTTTTTATGGAAAATCTGTCTTTCTTGCAGGTATTTAAGGAGACAAAACAGAAGAGAGAGAACATTTTGGAACTAAGCAGTACTTTTCTACCTCATTGTAATCGGCAAAAACTACTGGAATTTATTCTGAGTTTTATTGTACTTTAGAATATCTCCCAACTTCTCCTAGTAGACTTGGACAATGCAATGCAACGCTTCAGGATTTGGTTCTGCTTCCACTGTATCAGTAGTGCCATTTTTGGCAAGGCCTTATCTGACCCAAGCCATAAGAAGACAAGTGCCTTCTTACATATGCACATATGGGACTACAATATTTAGAATTCAAACACATTGCTAGTATCCAACATATTTAGTGAATGTTTGCACAAACCCCTGAGTTTTTCCATAAATTTGTATCAAGTATTACGGTTTTACATTGCAAAATACTACTTGTACTTCAAAACTAATGACTGACAAATGCACCTATCTGCCAGATTTGAACTGCATAAAATATTTTGATTACTATGTGAACTTTACAAAAGCTCTGTCAGTATAACTACTTCATTGTATTCAGTACTGTAAATGAATGGTTTTTAGGAAAATTGAATGGGGGAAGGTGTCAGAAAGGACATATAATATTTTATTCTACTAATATAATGGTAACATAGTAAACAATAATAGCAAAGTAGTCACCAGGATCTAATTAAAATTAGTTGAACAGAAAACAGCCTGCACAAAGTGTGATCCAAGTAACAAAATGAGTATAAAATGTATCAATCTTTCTAACATAAGAATTCAAAATTTATTAAATTGGTGCACTAAAGAAATAGATGACACGAATTTATCCCCCAAAGTTCTAAAAGCTTTTCCTGATGAGCATTTAAATTTTAGTCCTCATGTTTTCCTCGCAAGCACTTGGAACTCAGATGTAAGTTTGGCTTAAGCTATGCCAGTGGTGCTTTTGCAAAAGCAGCTGGACTTCTGAAGAATTGAAGAAGCTTCTTGAATGAAGAGCAAAATGTTTTCAAGGAAAAACTAGGAAAATCCAGTTGCCTTTTGGAAAAGCCCCTTTTGGGACAACCATGACCTGGATGATTGAGAATCTCCATAGATATCTGGCTTAAATTGATGAAATAACCTAATAAATACATTATCTCATTCTAATCTTGATTGATTTTGAATGGAAGATGTTTTGCTATCATAAAGTTTTACAAGCTATATTGCTGAAACATGAGTGATTTGAACTATGAGATTATGATGATAACATAAATTGCAAGCAATGTATTATTGGTAATCTTATAGAAGGCAATAACTTCCAAGCTGCATTACAAAATGAGCTCTACAGACTCATACACAGTATATCAGGAAAAGCAATAATGACATTTATTTTTAAGAGAGATACCTTGTTGCCTTAGCCCTTGAAGAAACTTTGTCACTGAAGTATTAATAGTATTTCTCAAATTCATTTTTTCATTTCTTATGTGGAGTTGAGAAATAGTTTGATTATGAAAATCCATGTTTCCTTCCTTTTTAAAAAAAATAAATGCCTGAGTACTCCTCCACATTTATGAAGCTTGGATTTTCTATAAATGTATTTATTAATTAAAACATTAGGATGTTTTTCGGTATTATCCTGCAGTTCTGAATGATGGGAACAACTATGCAAATTTGTCATCATAAAACAGGTGCTTTAAAACATATTAAGATAAATATTTGAACCAAAGTTGCATCTGATCAATAACAGCAATAGTCAGAAACCCTGACTTAATTTGTTGCTTTTATGGCAGGATAGCAACTGAAATAAAATTCACTTGTTCTATTAGTCATAACTATATGGGGCAATTATTTTCTTGTTGCTTGTTTGAACTATTCATGAAACCTGAATGTATTTTGAATAGCAATTTTTAAAGACTGATTCCAATTTAGGTCAGATAACAGGTGCTTGTAAATAAATAATTTCCTGTAGTTTCACTGTAGTTCAGTAAACATCCATTGTATTAGTAGAATTAAGATTATGTATTAATAGATCCAAGCAATATATTATAAATGACATTTTGCTCATTTTAATTAAAATGTGTCTAATTTAAAGAAATGAGGGGCTAGGAATTAGTTTGGACAATAGAAACTAATTGCTAGTTATCATTTCATGGGGGTAACTTATTAACATTATTAAAATGTTTAGCTAATAGCAGTGTTCATTTGAATTGAAGAGATATGCAATGTATTGTAACTACTGAATATGAAAATAGGGTTTAAGTGTTATAAACAGAGACTTTGCTTGTACAGAAACGTCAATCTGAATGTTGTTCACTGGCAGAAGTCTGTGGCATGGATGTAGCATGCACCTAGCAATACACCTAGCTTGGCATTTCCATGAAGGTAAAATACAGATCTTTACTGGAAAGCTGCTAAATAGAATGCTTCTTTTGTAGGATATTATTTTCAAATCTCATGTTCATCTTCTAAGGCAGAATCTACATTTTTCAATCCTAAAATAATGTATGGTTCCTAATTCTGCTTGTAGAACATCCAAAATAGATACTGAAATGTATTATGTTGACAACTTACTGAAAATAATATAAATAATATGGTGATCTGAAGGACAACATTCTATGTATATTTGTTTGTTGTGTAGAATGAATAAAATTACTTTTCAGATCTCCAGTGATTTTCTAAGATTACACAATTGTTAACAACACTAATATATTATTAAGCAAATGTAATTTATCTAATTGTCTCCATATATATATATATATATATATATATATTTATATTTATATTTATATTTATTTATTTATTTCTGAGGTTCTCGTGGGTATTGTATGTGGATCTTTGGTTATTCGGGTTTTCTCCCGCGTAAGATTGGAAGTATCTTGGCAACATTTCGATGAAGTCTCATTCATCATCTTCAGGCTTGTGTCTTCGGCTCTGTGCTTCTCAGAGTGATGTGAGCTTGCAGCTGCTTCTTCCTTTTAACTGCTAGTGGGGGTGTGATAATCTGGCCACACGGGAAAGAAAAACTGAACAACTTCCTCACACACCTCAACAGCCTACACCCCAAAATACAATTCACCATGGAAACAGAAGCTAACAATCAACTTTCCTTCCTAGATGTCTTGGTATACAAAAAATCCAATGGCTCCGTAGGACACATCATCCACCAGAAGAAAACACATACAAACCGCTATCTACACGCACTCTCACACCACCACCCAGCACAGATAAATTCCATAGCCGAGACACTCATCTCTAGAACAAAATACTTCGCCGACGAACAACACCTAAAAACTGAACCACACACTCTCACCAACGTACTAACAGCCAATGGATTCCAAAGAAAGAAGATTACCCACCTAATCCAAAAAGAAACCCCAACCAAAATCCAAGACAGAGAACAAGAGAACAGCAAAGCCCTCCCATATATAAAAGGCACTACAGACAAAATCAGCAAGATCCTCCAAAAACACAACATTAAAACAGCATTCTGCACAAACAGAAAAATATCCACCATCCTAAGAAACGCTAAAGACAAAATCGAGTTAGAAAACCAAGGAGTATACGAAATCCCCTGCACTGCCTGCCCCACCACATACATTGGACAAACTAACAGAAGAATAAGTGCACGCATTGAAGAACATAAGAACTCAATCAAAAAAGAAGATCCGACCTCTTCCCTGGTCTAACACCTCAAAGCCACAGGACATGAGATTGACTTTAAAAATACCAGAACTATCACCAAAACCGAACACTTCAACAGCAGAATAATCAGAGAAGCCATAGAGATAGAAAAACGCCCACACAGCATGAGTAAATGAGATGACACCTCCCGCCTCCCAGCCATTTGGAAACCCGCCCTCATGAACAGACGAGTACCTAACGTGAAGACTGACACCAGACCCACACCCATGAGGGCCATACAAGATGCCACCACCACACCTTCACGTAGAAAGCAGACTCACACCCACACAGAAGATGAGACATGGCCACGGATCAGAAGCCGCACTGCAGCTGCATCACTACCCACTTCAAACCCCTCCGAACCATACATGAAGCGAACTGTCACCCACCATGAAGATGTAGCACGACCACGAACTCGAAGCCAAACAGCAGGATCACAGCTCACCCCCAGCAACTAAGACTAACCTGAGCACAACCAAGCCCCCACCTGAACAGAACACACCTCCAGCCAATCAGAACACAGCCAACCCCCCAACCAATCAGAGCATAGCCAAACCCCCAACCAATGAGAACACACCCCCACCCAATCAGAACACAGCCAAGCCCACACCCAATCAAGTACACCCCCACTAGCAATTAAAAGGAAGAAGCAGCTACAAGCTCACATCACTCTGAGAAGCACGGAGCCGAAGACACAAGCCTGAAGATGATGAATGAGACTTCATCGAAATGTTGCCTAGATACTTCCAATCTTACGCGGGAGAAAACCCTAATAACCAAAGATCTACATACAAATACCCGCGAGAACCTCAGAAAACAAATATTGCACCTCTACGGGGAGGAAACCCACCATCTGACCAGGACTTATGAAAAACTTGAAGTCCAAAGAGCTTCCATTTTATGTGACCTCACATTCCTATGTAACTGCCGAGATCAAAATTTCCCACAAGCTTCCAATTGAAATTCCACACCAACACAGCAGCCACCAAACGCATCCTAAAAAGAACAAATTGGCCCTAATTAGAAATGACTTCACACAAAAAGATTTCTCCTAGACCAAATCAACAAAGATCTCCTCACACTTCACCTCAGACTCAGCAACAAGATTCACCCCTTACTTTGGGACAAATCCAAACAACTCGCTGTCTGGAGAGCCGAAACACAGACCACCCTCAAGACAGACACACACACCAACAAACTCAGAAAACTACAACAACGCCAGAAACCAACTCCTCCCCCCTCACAGCCACACATGAAACAAACAGTGCACAACATCTCAGACAGGATCCTCACCGAAGCCGAAACCAAGGTCCTTTCAAAAAGATTCAACTTTGCTGCCGCTCCCAAACATATCACCACAGAAACCATCATATGCGGAGTTGAAACCAGCCTGACCAAAACCAACCCTGATGATGCTAATAGAATCAGACTCGAAATCACCAACATCCTCTGCACTAGCAAACCACCCAAAAGCAACTTATCCAAAGAAGAACAAACTGCACTACTTAACCTGAAAGAAGACACCAGCATAATAATCCTACCAGCAGACAAGGGCAACGCGACAGTGGTTATGAACACATCTGACTACCAATCCAAGTTAACCAACCTACTCCAAGACCCCACATACAAACCCCTAAAGACAGACCCCACCACCTACCTAGAAAAAACCACCAGATCCAAAATAAAAGCCTCCCCCCGTCAGTGAAGAAATCCAGCAAAGTATCACACCCAGAGAGAAATCATCCAGATGCCCTAAGCTCTATGGTCTCCCCAAGATACACAAAGAAGGAACCCCACTTAGACCAATAGTCAACTCCATAGGATCACCTCTACAAAACCTAGCCAAATTTCTCGCCAAACAACTACAGCCCTATGCAGAATCCATCAACTCACACGTAAGAAACTCATCCCAGTTCATCGAGATCATAAAGAAACAAAACTTACAACCCAGTGACCTACTAGTGAGCTTTGATGTCATATCCCTCTTCACCCAAGTGCCTATAAAAGAAGCCTTGACAGCCATCCAAAACAAATACAACCCCCCAAGCACATCCTAGATCTGACCAACCACTGCCTATCCAATACATACTTCACCTACAATGGACAAAAATACAAACAAATAGAAGGAGCACCCATGGGATCACCCCTCTCACCTGTCACTGCTAACCTCTACATGGAACACTTTGAAACACAAGCTCTAGAAAAATATGATCACAAACCCAAACTCTGGCTCAGACACGTAGATGACACCTTCATAATCTGGCCATATGGGAAAGAAAAACTGAACAACTTCCTCACACACCTCAACAGCCTACACCCCAAAATACAATTCACCATGGAAACAGAAGCTAACAATCAACTTCCCTTCCTAGATGTCTTGGTATACAAAAAATCCAATGGCTCCATAGGACACACCATCCACCAGAAGAAAACACATACAAACTGCTATCTACACGCACTCTCACACCACCACCCAGCACAGATCAATTCCCTAGCCGAGACACTCATCTCCAGAACAAAATGCTTCACCGACGAACAACACCTAAAAAATGAACTACACACTCTCACTAACGTACTAACAGCCAATGGATTCCAAAGAAAGAAGATTACCCACCTAATCCAAAAAGAAACCCCAACCAAAATCCAAGACAGAGAAAAAGAGAACGGCAAAGCCCTCCTCCCAAATATAAAAGGCACTACAGACAAAATCAGCAAGATCCTCCAAAAACACAACATTAAAACAGCATTCTGCACAAACAGAAAAATATCCACCATCCTAAGAAACGCTAAAGACAAAATCGAGTTAGAAAACCAAGGAGTATATGAAATCCCTTACACCACCTGCCCCACCACATACATCGGACAAACTAAACGCCCACACAGCATGAATAAACGAGATGATACCTCCCGCCTACCAGCCATTTGGAAACCCGCCCTCATGAACAGATGAGAACCTAACATGAAGAATGACACCAGACCCACATCCATGAGGGCCATACAAGATGCTACCACCACACTTCCACGTAGAAAGCAGACTCACATCCACACAGAAGATGAGACACAACCACGGATCAGAAGCTGTACCACAGCTGCATCACTACCTGCTTCAAACCCCTCCGACCCACACATGAAGCGAACTGATGCCCACCATGAAGATGTGGCACGACCACGAACGCGAAGCCAAACAACAAGATCACAGCTCACCAGCTCAAATCCCCCAGCAACTAAGACTAACCTGAGCACAACAAAGCCCCCACCTGAACAGAACACACCCCCAGCCAATCAGAACACAGCCAACCCCCCACCCAATCAGAACACAGCCAAACCCCCAACCAATGAGAACACACCCCACCCAATCAGAACACAGCCAAGCCCCCACCCAATCAAGTCACATCCCCACTAGCAGTTAAAAGGAAGAAGGAGCTGCAAGCTCACATTATTCTGAGAAGCACAAACCCGAAGACACAAGCCTGAAGATGATGAACGAGACTTCATCGATCTCTATTTGTACTTGTGAAACCTAATCAAGTCTCAAAAAGTTTTAATACTACTTTTTCCTTTTAACATTCCCTTTGTCTCTTATGTAAGAAGCACAGCTGCACGGCCATTGTATTTTAATAAATAATTGAAACTCTTTTGGTGTAATGTGACTAAGTCTTTAAAGAATAGAAAAAATATGAGTGCTCTCTACCAGTTCCTGATGTTTTCTCTGTCTTATCTAAGCTTGAGACAGCTGATGATAATCTGTTAGAAAAATTGCTATTTGTTAGAAGAACAAGAAAATACCATTCACTAACTAGTTAATCACACTTCACTCTTTTACTGTAAAGTTGGGAAGTATTGGGCTATCTCACTTTCAAACTCAACATTATTACGGCGGTGTCACGTGATGTATCAAGACTTTTTCTCCCTTTGCTAAACCGGGCATGGCCTGCACGTGATGTATCCAGCCCATGGGCCAGGAGTTTGACAGCCTCGGTCTATTTAAATAC